CGGCTGATTGTTGGAAGTCGATGAGTCTTGACTTCATCTTTGGGCTTCCCGCCGACGGACACGGCAACACCGGAATTTTGGTGTTCGTGTGTCGGCTGAGCAAGATGGTACATCTTGCTCCAGTTCCCGTCACTGTGACGGGCGAACAAACCGCAAGGTTGTTCGTCGATGGCGTGTTCCGCTATCACGGTCTCCCGGAGACGATTGTCTCGGACCGAGACCCGCGGTTCACTGCTGCGTTTTGGAAAACGCTGTTCCCTTTACTGGGAACCCGTCTGCAGATGTCCACTGCGGATCATCCGCAGACAGACGGCCAAACAGAGCGCGTCAATCGAGTGCTCGAGGACACTCTGCGCAGTGTGTGCGCGGCAGCGCCACGTACGTGGTCGACGCAGCTTCCAGTTGTTGAGTTTGCGCTCAACAACGCGGTGCACGCGTCCACGGGGTTCACGCCGTTCTACTTGAACGGCTTCCGTTACCCCAGAGTGCCTCTCACTCTTCGAGGAAACACTGACTCCTCTATTCTAAGTGGGGGAGAGGCTCGGAAAGCCCTTTCCTCCCAGGTCTCGGATGTGAGGCCAGTTTCGCTGCGGAAACAGGTGGAATCCTTTATGGATACCAAGCTGAACATTGTCAGCAGGGTCCGCGATGCCATGGCAGCGGCCCAAGATAAACAAAAGGAGTACTCGGACAAACAAGGAAGAGGAAACTTAAGTATATTTGAGATTGGTGACTTAGTGTTACTAGACACGAGGAACCTACCTCTAGACACTGTTAGCTCTGTCGGCAGCAACAAGCTGAAGCACCGCTTCATCGGACCTTTTGCAGTCCTGGCCAGACATGGTGCGTCGTACACCATCGACCTTCCAAAGTCAATGACGACGCACCCGACGTTCTATGTCGGACGTCTTAAGCGGTACTTTGACCCGCAGGGGGTTGCTGACTCGCAGACCCCCTTGACCCAGCTCCTCGAAGCGAGGGCCGGTCACAGTCGTCGGCGAGGGCGTCGGAGCAGGCACCCAAGCCTCGGTCGGGACGGCAAGGCTGCGGTCAAGACCGTACGCCGGAGGGGCTCCATACGAACGGACCCCGGCGCCATACGCCGAGTACGCTGAGTACGCCGGGTACGCACCATACGCGTACGTCTGGGAGTGTGCCGCAGGCGGCTCCGGACGTGGCAACAAAGCCTCGATCCGTCGGATCATGCGAAAGGCCTCGTCCAGATCGGACGAAGAGGCCCGGCGGTCCACCCGCAGGTGCAGGCTCGCGACCTCTCGCTCCACCAGGTCCAGGCGACCCGCAAGACGAGCGAGCTCGCCCTGATTCCCGGCCTGGGCGGCAGCATTACCGCCAGTCCCAACGCCAAGTGCAATCTCAAGCACGAGGAGACGTTGACGGAGGCGGTCAACCTCAGGGTCCCGTGTCGGACCCGCAGTCAGAGCACTCGAACGAGAGTGGCTCTCGGGAGGCGCCGAGTACTCGTACTCGTACGAGGGCAGCTCCGCCCCTGCTTGACCGGAATGGAGAAGTCCACTTCCACGTGGAGCGGATCCTCCAGGAGCAACGGTGTCGCGGGAAGCCACAGCTCCTCGTGAAGTGGAGGGGTTATGCCCACTCCGAGAACTCGTGGGAGCCGATTGAACGGCTCCTGATTGACTGCCCGAAGGCTGTCCCAATCTGGGAACAGAAGCGGCGGCAGCTTCATAAGTAGTCCGGGGCTTCTTGCCCGAACGGGGTACGGATGATGAATACATACCGTACCCGCGCTCATCGTGAGCGCTAGAAGCCGCGCGCTTCAGGATGTCCCTTGGCAGCATACGCTTGCTGATCAAGTGGGCAAACCTCACACGAAGATCACGCTGGTCCAGGATGTGGGACAGCTGCTGATCTTCATGGAGTTCCCATAACTCCGTGGGCGAGTACTTGAGAGTCTCCACCCACGCCCAGAACATGTCCTCACAAGAACTCCATGTGGGACAGTTCTCGGGCATAACCCAGGGGTATCCCCAAACAGGATAGAGACCACCCCGGGTCTCGGGCTTCTTACGACAAGTCGTGAAGTCCTTAAGGGGAATGCGGTGTGGCGCGAGAAGCACACACCGAGCAGCCTCCACGTTGTCGACGAACAACTGTTCTTTCTGAACAAGGGCTCGTTCATAGATGCCCCTAGAAGTGTGGCCGCCCACAAGGCCACGAGGAGCGACGAGAAGCTCTAAGAAGAGGTCAGCCCCAGAGCTCTCCTCGGGAGGCCAATACCCTCTTGAGTTGATGGCAGCTCCCTGGCTGACGGGTGCCGCCACCGAACCCTTGGAAATCCTCCTGCTGCTGGTCGAGGTCATTCGAGACCTCCCGGGGCTCAACAATGGCACCCTCCTCTTCCTCTTCTTCCTTCTTCTCCTCCTCTTCATCCGAGGAGCCGAAGAGACTCTGATAGGAGCGTCGAGTCTCCTTCTCCTCGCGGAGTGGAGACTTAGAGGCGGTACGCTTCTTTGAGGGCTTGGCGCCTTCGGCTTTAGAGGCCTTAGCGCGCGCAAGACCCTCGGCAAGCGAGAGACGTTTGCGAGGACTCCCTTCCTCATCGCCACCGGCTTTGGGAGTGCCCTTAGCCTTAACGGCCGGACTCTCAGAGCGCACAGAAGTCCTGGGACTGTGATCACCGTGATCACTAGCGGACGACTGCACGCTGTCTTCTTTGTGCTCACTGGACACTGGGCTGTGCCCTCCCACAGAGCCCGCAGGAGCATCATGAGTGCTCTCGGACTCGGCATCGTCCTCACTGCCCGAGTTGAACTCACGTTCTACGAACCGAGGGTTCGGACGATTGTCTGAAGACGAGGGCGACGGACTGCGGCGCCTGCTTGCGCGCTTGTCCGCAGCCGCGTCACCCGAGGATCCGATCGCCTCGGAGGCCACCTGAGTAGCCTCCTTAAGTGCAGAGCCTTTGCCGTGAGGCTTAGTGCTCTTGGCCTGCGCCTTACCGGCTGCAGCCTTGGAGCGTGTCTTAGCACCGCTCTTAGCAGTGCCACGAGGCATGTTAACGGTCGAAGTGGAGACCTTGACGAAGAGCGCACAGGTTGCTGCTCGAGGCTCTAACTGTAAAGTGAGCCTCCGCCGCGCTCGCGCGGCCGAGTCGATGGTTTTCGACTTTGAGAATGAGAGTTTGTGACGAACATCTCTTCATTCTGATTGGTCGGTAAACCGAACCTAAGTGGGGGAGGATGTAACGGGGTACGTAGCACTAAGTGTACCCTGGTTACATGAAGTGTGACACTTCACACTTCAGGAGTATGACATGTCATACTCCGGGATATTTGGTACAAGGTACCAAGGTCATTCAAAACCAACCATTGGTTTTATGACATTGCATTTCTATAGGTAACTGATAGTTTGTATTAACCTCAAACTTAACCTACCTATAAATATACTCAGTTTACAATCTACCTTATTTAGGTCACTTCGCTCTCTTTAATTAAAGAGGGGACCTGTGAACTGCCGTTCACTGAGAGTTTGTATACTCTCGGAAGATAACTTCCTCTAGCGCAAGGTGCTGTGTGACCCCGTCACAATTCCTGTCCGTAGCTCAGCAATGCATAACGCGATGGACAACATGTCACGACAAAGCAATGGAGATATTATGGTTAATATGGACAACAACAACCCCAGTCATACTATGGAGACTACGAAATCGTCATATTTTCAACGAAATACACACATCAAAAAGCGAAACAGCCTCCATAGTCTGGGGAGCTGGCACGTACCAAGTCATGGCGGTAGCTAGCTCATGGAAGGCGCAACCATCAAAGCGGATATTGGGTGTGTGTCTGGAACTATGCCATAGAATCATGATATCTGTTCACCCTGAAATGGATATGGAACATCTGGAAACCTGGCTAATCCGTTACTACGCGAGAAATCCTCCCGGAAAAGAGTCCCAAGGAGAATGGCTAGTATACCATTTAGAAAGAGAAGACGCGTGGAAGCTCCATGTAGCTGGTAGCAACACATTTAACCACCAGCAATCCCGCTCAAAACTTGATCTACTCGTCCTCGAACAAGCAGGACAAGCCATTTGTCGTCAAGATGAGCCTCAGAGAATTATCCTATTGATTGATACCATCGATTTACGAGCCTCCAGCATGCTCAGAAAAGACTCAGAAGATAAGGTCGACTACAACGACTGCCGTAATCTCAGTGCACTAGCCTCATTCTTCAGGATACAGTGGAGAAAACCGAAGCTAGCGGCATTCACAGCAGCCAAGAAAGTGGCTGCAATGGACCAAAATGCAACATATATATTCGACAATACAAACAGGATGACCCACCGAAGCGCATTCGAAGAGTATCTTCAGCGGACGGAGGAACAAATTCAACAAAAGGCAAACCCTCAGCCATACAGAAAGACGGACTCCATTGAGAACCGTTTAATAGCGTATCATAGTAAGGCTTCTATAGGATAAAAAAAACATACCCAAATAGAAGGCCGTTTGAACCACCAAGATTTTTTAATAGTGTACCATGAAAACCGTCAAATCGCACTTAACAGATCCGTTCACGACCACGACCGTAACGATCACCACTTTCGATAACAGCGGCAACTTTATCTCGTTCGCAGGAAACGGATTGCATCAAATACATTGCCCACCATACCTACAATCCAAGTTGTCGCAACAGTTGGCAAGTCAAATGCGTTAAGCTAAACTCTAAGTGCGTGATTTTTGCCGGTAGCGAGCGCATCGAAGACAAGTCTAATTGTAGGACAAATTGGACATTTTAGGCTTCGTTTAGGACGCATTATTCGACAGCGCTGCGAGAGCAAGACCTCCAATTCAAGATGGTACAGTATACAGAATGCACTGCAAAACCGACGCGACGAATGTTTACGAGACCTTGCTCATGAAGACCTTTTTGCTAGCTCGTGTCCATGCTGCTTAAGCAGCTCACCTGATACGCACCGTGCCAGGAGGACGGTGGCTTTATTATTAATACTACAACGTAGTACACGTACACCCCACAGGTGAGCAAGCAAAGAAGCTAATCGACGTCTTCGCAGCTAGGAAGTCACTAAACAAACACTGCAGACAAAGGAGAGTACTGTAGATGCGCGGCTGGAGGAAAAGAGCAGCGCCACAGCAACAGGCTGATGAACTTTGAGCTAGTGGACGAAAAGTACCTTCCGGCGTAGGGTTTTCAAGCCAAATCAAGTCAAAATCATCGTCAGGTCTGAAGGCAATTGCTGTCTCCACCTTTCATATGTATTGCAATTAAAAAAATGCACCGTGTACCAACCGAGCTTCTCCTCCTTTGCCGTTCGCGCTTCAATAAAACAACTCAGCTGAAAACCACGTGGTTCTTTCCGTTCGATCTCAATCCTTAAGAGAAGATCGGGCAACCACGACTGCCACATTCCTTACTCGTCAACCACAGGCTCCTTCTTCACTTCCACCTTGTCTTCCTTCATATCGTCCACGTCCTCAGATGCTTCCTCAACCACCGCCGACAATGTCTCCATACTCGTTGTAGTAAATGCCACCTCGTCAATCAGCGTCTCGCTCTTTTCATTCTCCATACCCTCAGTCTCTGGTGCCGAGTCCGTCTCGAACAACTTTTTCGCCTTATCACGTGCATCAGCAGCCGCAGCTTCCAGCACCGCAGCGTCAGCAGCTGCTTCCTCGTCCAGCTGCGGTAGAGCGTACACCGCGTACAAAATGATCAGTGCCAGTGCTTCCAAGAAGACAATGTTCAGAATGAACAAAATCGCTGTCGGTACTGCCCAATGGTACATTAAATACCGAAGACCTGTCAGCTGCGCAATCACTGTAAGCTTGGCCGAGTAGACCTGTAGCTTTGGCGTGTTCAGCTCAATGTCCACGCGCGTAAGAGGGTACTCGGTGCTCTCCTGGTATCCGTTGATCGCTGTCACGCGAAGCGTCTGAGCAGGTTCCGTAAAGCCCAACGCGTAGGGCATGAGCCAAAATGCTAGTCTCATCCAGCGCACAGGCGCCGGCATGTCATGCAGCGTCACAGGTCGAGCACTCGCTGCTAGTCCCCTCTCCTGGTTTGAGTATAACGTCGTCGATACCATGAATACACCAACCTCCGCGTTGGTTCGCGACTCTGGCACTGTCAGCTTTACGATCACGTCGTACGTTACACCAGGGACAAGTACAGGCTGCGTCGGCTCGTCAGGCTTGACCACAAATGACTGCCACTGATGTACCGGATCCTGCAGTTCCAAAGACGCCGTTGGGATAATAGGCGTTTGCCCCCCCTGGACATAAATGTCCATGTGGCGATTCCCATAGTTGAAGAAAATGTCTTGTTCATGGAATCTAGACGGGATGACAAGGTAGTACATAAATGCATAGAGCAGCGAGGCCGTGGCGAAGAGGAACGAGATGCCAGCGAAGATCTGCGCGGCGCGGAAAGCCCAGAGCAGCAGCAGCTTGAAGTAATTCTTAGCCATACGCGTGAGCTCGTCGCGCAGACGTTGACGCTCAGCCTCGTCCTTCAGCAACTCCGTCGCGCTTGTCGGTAGCAGCGCCAGCATCAGCGTCCATGGCACCCACGAAGCCATCGTCACAGTTGGGTCTTCTTCTTTCCTGGCTCACTTTTTGACAACCATCCGGATCAGACATTATCAGATTTGCGAACTGAAAAAATATGACAATGTTGCGCATCTTCGTGCGCGGGTACCGGCGCCTGGTTGCCACATTCGTAGCACCCGATACGTGTCCAATCTGCCTGGATGTCGTCCCGATACTGGCGCTGCGCGACGTGGAGAGCGAAGACGATGAGGCTCATGCAAAGCTGCGCTGTCGCCACCGTTTTTGTGCTGGTAGGGGCCAGTCTCCTTCAATATCGAACGTGTGTGTGTGCTCACTGTCAATGCAGAGTGCGTTCGGAGGTATATTCAGATGAAGATCAAAGGGCGCCAAGTGGACGAAGGTGCATGCAATGCAGGCTGCAGTTTACAGAGGTCTTCATGATAATAGAGAATATGCATGCTACAGATGAATTGGTATGCCCAGTAGTGGAGTGCAAACAGAGCATCAAGGAGGAGGACATGGAACGCATTATCGGGAAGGACGAGACGACACTGTACCGAGCAATACTGAAGCGCAAGCGAGTACGTTCCAGCTGGAAAGTTGCGAATATGAAGTGCACCCGGTGATAAATCTTGAATTGTGACAGGACGAGAAGAATCCGAGTGCGAGGTGGTGTCCAAGACCAGGCTGCGACGAGCTCATTATCTGTGAGAGCACGGACAATTTCACGTGCCCAAAGTGCGATACAGTGGGATGTTTCCGTTGTCGCGGATATGCACATCGGTTTTGGTTCTGTCGTGGTGCTCAGGATAAGTCGTATCTGGCCTGGGAGGCGTCGGTGGGCAAGCACAAGGCGGTGCGAGCGTGTCCACACTGTCAGATGCGCATCTGGAAGAACGAAGGCTGCAATCACATGACGTGTACCCACTGTCGCTACGAGTATTGCTGGGTCTGTGAGAGCAGGTGGGATGCAAGTCACTACGCGTGCTACGACTTGCCCTTCGTTGGCGCTTCATCTGCATGGGGAAACTTGATCTACTTGCCTCGAACAAACAGGACAAGCCATTTGTCGTCAAGATGAGCCTCAGAGAATTATCCTATTGATTGATACCATCAATTCACGAGCCTCCAGCATGCTCAGAAAAGACTCAGAAGATAAGGCCGACTACAACGACTGCCGTAATCTCAGTGCACTAGCCTCATTCTTCAGGATACAGTGGAGAAAACCGAAGCTAGCGGCATTCACAGCAGCCAAGAAACTGGCTGCAATGGACCAAAATGCAACATATATATTCGACAATACAAACAGGATGACCCACCGAAGCGCATTCGAAGAGTATCTTCAGCGGACGGAGGAACAAATTCAACAAAAGGCAAACCCTCAGCCATACAGAAAGACGGACTCCATTGAGAACCGTTTAATAGCGTATCATAGTAAGGCTTTTATAGGATAAAAAAAACATACCCAAATAGAAGGCCGTTTGAACCACCAAGATTTTTTAATAGTGTACCATGAAAAGTCAAATGAGCCGTCAAATCGCACTTAACAGATCCGTTCACGACCACGACCGTAACGATCACCACTTTCGATAACAGCGGCAACTTTATCTCGTTCGCAGGAAACGGATTGCATCAAATACATTGCCCACCATACCTACAATCCAAGTTGTCGCAACAGTTGGCAAGTCAAATGCGTTAAGCTAACCTCTAAGTGCGTGATTTTTGCCGGTAGCGAGCGCATCGAAGACAAGTCTAATTGTAGGACAAATTGGACATTTTAGGCTTCGTTTAGGACGCATTATTCGACAGCGCTGCGAGAGCAAGACCTCCAATTCAAGATGGTACAGTATACAGAATGCACTGCAAAACCGACGCGACGAATGTTTACGAGACCTTGCTCATGAAGACCTTTTTGCTAGCTCGTGTCCATGCTGCTTAAGCAGCTCACCTGATACGCACCGTGCCAGGAGGACGGTGGCTTTATTATTAATACTACAACGTAGTACACGTACACCCCACAGGTGAGCAAGCAAAGAAGCTAATCGACGTCTTCGCAGCTAGGAAGTCACTAAACAAACACTGCAGACAAAGGAGAGTACTGTAGATGCGCGGCTGGAGGAAAAGAGCAGCGCCACAGCAACAGGCTGATGAACTTTTGAGCTAGTGGACGAAAAGTACCTTTCGGCGTGGGGTTTTCAAGCCAAATCGAGTCGAAATCATCGTCAGGTCTGAAGGCAATCGCTGTCTCCACCTTTCATATGTATTGCAATTAAAAAAAATGCACCGTGTACCAACCGAGCTTCTCCTCCTTTGCCGTTCGCGCTTCAATAAAACAACTCAGCTGAAAACCACGTGGTTCTTTCCGTTCGATCTCAATCCTTAAGAGAAGATCGGGCAACCACGACTGCCACATCCCTTACTCGTCAACTACAGGCTCCTTCTTCACTTCCACCTTCTCTTCCTTCATATCGTCCACGTCCTCAGATGCTTCCTCAACCACCGCCGACAATGTCTCCATACTCGTTGTAGTAAATGCCACCTCGTCAATCAGCGTCTTGCTCTTTTCATTCTCCATACCCTCAGTCTCTGGTGCCGAGTCCGTCTCGAACAACTTTTTCGCCTTATCACGTGCATCAGCAGCCGCAGCTTCCAGCACCGCAGCGTCAGCAGCTGCTTCCTCGTCCAGCTGCGGTAGAGCGTACACCGCGTACAAAATGATCAGTGCCAGTGCTTCCAAGAAGACAATGTTCAGAATGAACAAAATCGCTGTCGGTACTGCCCAATGGTACATTAAATACCGAAGACCTGTCAGCTGCGCAATTACTGTAAGCTTGGCCGAGTAGACCTGTAGCTTTGGCGTGTTCAGCTCAATGTCCACGCGCGTGAGAGGGTACTCGGTGCTCTCCTGGTATCCGTTGATCGCTGTCACGCGAAGCGTCTGAGCAGGTTCCGTAAAGCCCAACGCGTAGGGCATGAGCCAAAATGCTAGTCTCATCCAGCGCACAGGCGCCGGCATGTCATGCAGCGTCACAGGTCGAGCACTCGCTGCTAGTCCCCTCTCCTGGTTTGAGTATAACGTCGTCGATACCATGAATACACCAACCTCCGCGTTGGTTCGCGACTCTGGCACTGTCAGCTCCACGATCACGTCGTACATTACACCAGGGACAAGTACAGGCTGCGTTGGCTCGTCAGGCTTGACCACAAATGACTGCCACTGATGTACCGGATCCTGCAGTTCCAAAGACGCCGTTGGGATAATAGGCGTTTGCCCCCCCTGGACATAAATGTCCATGTGGCGATTCCCATAGTTGAAGAAAATGTCTTGTTCATGGAATCTAGACGGGATGACAAGGTAGTACATAAATGCATAGAGCAGCGAGGCCGTGGCGAAGAGGAACGAGATGCCAGCGAAGATCTGCGCGGCGCGGAAGGCCCAGAGCAGCAGCAGCTTGAAGTAATTCTTAGCCATACGCGTGAGCTCGTCGCGCAGACGTTGACGCTCAGCCTCGTCCTTCAGCAACTCCGTCGCGCTTGTCGGTAGCAGCGCCAGCATCAGCGTCCATGGCACCCACGAAGCCATCGTCACAGTTGGGTCTTCTTCTTTCCTGGCTCACTTTTTGACAACCATCCGGATCAGACATTATCAGATTTGCGAACTGAAAAAATATGACAATGTTGCGCATCTTCGTGCGCGGGTACCGGCGCCTGGTTGCCACATTCGTAGCACCCGATACGTGTCCGATCTGCCTGGATGTCGTCCCGATACTGGCGCTGCGCGACGTGGAGAGCGAAGACGATGAGGCTCATGCAAAAGCTGCGCTGTCGCCACCGTTTTTGTGCTGGTAGGGGCCAGTCTCCTTCAATATCGAACGTGTGTGTGTGCTCACTGTCAATGCAGAGTGCGTTCGGAGGTATATTCAGATGAAGATCAAAGGGCGCCAAGTGGACGAAGGTGCATGCAATGCAGGCTGCAGTTTACAGAGGTCTTCATGATAATAGAGAATATGCATGCTACAGATGAATTGGTATGCCCAGTAGTGGAGTGCAAACAGAGCATCAAGGAGGAGGACATGGAACGCATTATCGGGAAGGACGAGACGACACTGTACCGAGCAATACTGAAGCGCAAGCGAGTACGTTCCAGCTGGAAAGTTGCGAATATGAAGTGCACCCGGTGATAAATCTTGAATTGTGACAGGACGAGAAGAATCCGAGTGCGAGGTGGTGTCCAAGACCAGGCTGCGACGAGCTCATTATCTGTGAGAGCACGGACAATTTCACGTGCCCAAAGTGCGATACAGTGGGATGTTTCCGTTGTCGCGGATATGCACATCGGTTTTGGTTCTGTCGTGGTGCTCAGGATAAGTCGTATCTGGCTGGGAGGCGTCGGTGGGCAGCACAGGCGGTGCGAGCGTGTCCCCACTGTCAAAGCGCATTGGAAAAACAATGCTGCAATCAATGAACTGTACCCACTGCCCTACCA